TGTCGGAGAGGGCCATTGATGTTTGCAGGCGCCCTTACGCTTAGAATCTTGGGTTGGAGAGTAGATAATCAGGATAGTAGGATGGTCGGGAAAGCCGTGTCTCGGACCGCATGAAGGTTGAGTGAGCAGTAGTGAAACGCTTATGCAGAGAAGCCATAGAAGGCGAGCAGGAAGATGCTGCGAGGAGGGCAGACATGTACTTGGAAGATGAGCCGGAGTTCAGTGCCGCTGCAGGATGGGCAGCATGATGGGGAGCCTGCGATCAGAAGAGTGAAGAATACAGGTATGGATGCCTTTGATTAGGAGTCCGATTGACAGCTCAGCGCAGCTACTCGGCCAGCTGCATCTGATAGAATCAGAAGATTAAGTATAGAGATGAAGCATGACCGCCGAAGCGACCCTGGGAGCATAGGTGCGAGTCCAGCGCAGCGCGGCATACTCAGCCGGGCTGCGTCCATTAGAAGCAGGATAAGCTTCTGAGAGAGTGGGTAGCAGCAGCTGCAGCATCTGTAGATAATAACAGCAATAATCCTGTATCAAAGCCACAGCACTAGAATATTGTTGTAGCTGTTTAGTGTTTCAGTAGAAGGATGCGAAGTGAAGAGAGGTGTCAAAGTAAAAGAAGCAGCAGCAGCACGGCAGCAGTAGCAGTATGAAGCAGCAGCGGCAGCAATAGCAGCAGTAGCGGCAGCAGTAGCAGCAGTAGCGGTAGCAGTATGACGCAGCAGAAGCAGCATTAGCAGGAGCAGTAGCACCACAATGCGATTCATACGAACAACAGACGTGTCACGCCAGCGTGCGCCGCTTGTCTCCGTGAGCCAGGTTACATACGTGTCTGAAAGAGCCGAGCCGTAGAGACAGGTGCAGCCTGGGGGCCCGCGGAGCGGCAGCGGCAGGAACAGCAGCAGCGGCACATGTAGTAGCAGGAGCAGCAGGAGCAGGCAGCAGGAACAGGCAGCAGCAGGAGCGGCAGCAGGAACAGGCAGCAGCAGGAGCGGCAGCAGGAACAGGCAGCAGCAGGAGCGGCAGCAGGAACAGGCAGCAGCAGGAGCGGCAGCAGGAACAGGCAGCAGCGGGATCAGGCAGCAGCGGGATCAGGCATCAGTAGGAACGGCAGCAGGGACCGCAGCAGCGGCGGTCAGAGAACCATGCCCATGGTTGTTTAACAGCCTGAGGAAATAAATCAACCCGAATCCGAAACATTCCCATGCGAATAACAGATGTCCCCTGGAGCCATCTTGCTGCTTTGGTTATGGTAGAACGCATGAACGATCACTTTTCCACGCGTTCATTAGCTCCAACTCCACTTCAAACCCGTTGCAGATTCACATTGGGCCCTTTTTCTTTCTGCTGCACTTTCAAAATGCAACAACTGCAGTTTAGTTACCCAATTTAATACTAGTGACCTAGCTATTTAAATGCATGGCCCCTCCTTCCTCCTGCAGATAGACGAATTTAAATGCATTCATTTAACAAAAGTGACCTGCGAGTAATGAGATTAATGCTGTAAAGATGGCGCCGTGGCAAGAGTTCTGGTGTGTGCCGTCTGGAGCACGATGGGTAGTCTTTGCACATTTTTTTTTCCAACGTGGTTTTACTGCAAGTGGCAGAACATGAATCTGAATTAACACATTGCTCCTCTTATATCCCTCAGACAATAGAGATTGATGCCATTTAAGATGCATTGTCCCTCAGTTAGCTCAAACACATGTGAAAACGGAGCCTGCAGACCAAGCACGGGGCGAAAACTGACGCCTGCAGTCAAGTGCGTAGGGCAAAACCAGCCGCCTGCAGCCTAGACTCCGGGATTAATCCGTCCGCGGTCGGCACACTCACTGTACTCACATGCCAGGAGACTTGGGAAAGCAACGGGACAACGCGGCACCGCCAATCGGAGGCAGGGACATGCACGGCACCGCCAGACCGTCTGCGCGCGGCAGCAAACCACGAGGAACGAGCAGCACAAAACCCGCGGAGGGGATTAACGTGAACCTGGCCCCCCATCATACTCAAAATTTTATAAAAAATATGTCAATCGTTTGTGCTACGTTTGTGCTGTTTTGTGCTGTAAAAAATTTTGTTTGTGCTGTTATCGTTTTTGAGATAATGAGGATTCTTTTATAGGTCAATCTGAGGTCACCCAGCCCCTCATTTTGCTAAAAAATGCTCCAAAATGGACGAAAATAGTGTCATTCGTTTGTGCTACGTTTGTGCTGGTTTGTGCTGTAAAAATTTACATTTGTGCTGTTATCGTTTTTAAGATATTAATAATTGCATTATTAGACGATTACGTCATCATACTCTTTCGAAAATGCGCAGAACTGACTGAGAATGGTGTCAATCGTTTGTGCTACGTTTGTGCTGTTTTGTGCTGTAAAAAAAATTGTTTGTGCTGTTATCGTTTTTGAGATATTGAGGATTCTTTTATAGGTCAATCTGAGGTCACCCAGCCCCTCATTTTGCTAAAAAATGCTCCAAAATGGACGAAAATAGTGTCATTCGTTTGTGCTACGTTTGTGCTGGTTTGTGCTGTAAAAATTTACATTTGTGCTGTTATCGTTTTTAAGATATTAATAATTGCATTATTAGACGATTACATCATCATACTCTTTCGAAAATGCGCAGAACTGACTGAGAATGGTGTCTATCCTTTTGGCTTCGTTTATGCTGTGCATATATTTGGTTTATACAGTTATGTTAAACATTTTAAGAATTTGGGTATCTCTTTTCTATTTTTTTTATTTGGGTATTGCACACACCTGACAGTGACGTCATATCCGGACACTTTATTGCTGCGTGATTAATCATGGCTAGAACCTCTCGACCACAGTCTATGCTCTCGACGCTCCTCAAACTTTTGGCAAGTAAATCTTCTTTTAATCCCCTTATTGGTGTAGTGTACAAGTCACTTGTATTGCGATTCACACATGTTTCACGTGCTGAATGTGTGTTAAGGAGCTTAATTAGCTACGCCAATTAACACACGCTAAATTCTTGCATATGAGTAGACTTGCAGGTTTCGGTTTGCACATACTGTATACTTAGTGTTTTGTCATTTGGTTAAATCATTTTACTACATGATTATTATTATTAATTTTTTTGTGCAGGATGCCAGCTTGGAACAGCCAGTGTGGAGTACAGCCAGTGTGGAGTGAAGAGTCACTGTTTTTTTGTAGTGTGTACAGTAGTACTAATACCTCTGAAAGTCAATTTCATGTAGCTTTAATTTAAGTACATGTATGAGGCCTTCTTTACTGCTTGATTAGCATGGTAGTGTTGTAGTAGTGAAGCTTATAAGCATACACATTTTGTTTTGTTTTCTTAAATTAACTTAATTTAATGGCAATGAAAGAATGAACTAAAAGCAGTCACTGTCAAAGAACAATATTGTGGTATATCTTCACATACAAAAGAATAGAAACATGGACATAGAATTGAAACATATGCCAACCTAATTGCAAACAAACTTAAAGTGCCAAAGGACAACTCGCACAAAAGCATAAAAACAAGGTTACTGATCATGTGTGTAAAGCACTGCATGTGGACACACATGTCTATTTTCTGCCACAGTTTTCACGTCGCTCCTCAGGTCATCAAACATCTCCCAGACTCTTGGGGACCTTCTGCAGTAGCAGACGTAGTGACCCATGGCATTCGTTGACTCTCCACCTCTGAATGCTATGACTGCCCTTAGTGTGAAGATCTTATCCTGAAGGACCATGCTGGATGGAAATTCAGACAAGGAAGACTCTCTCTTTCGTTGGTGAGTTTGTGAAGTACTCATAAGGTCAGTATCAACCCATAAAATTTCTCCTAGACTGCAGCTGTGTGTGACCATCCCTTCACATAGGGCAGATGACTCCTCTTCGGTGCCTCCAGGGTGACCCTGTAGTGGCAAATGGACTGGCCTGAGACAGGGAGATATGGGCAGGTGAAGTCCTTGCTGCACTGCAATCTCAAGTTGAGCCATACCAGAAGTCTCCAGTACATCGAAGGATGGATAGACAATTGGTACTTCCCTTGAGGTTTGCACACTGAGCACGCAGTGCTGGGAGGAACATTTCTTATGAAAGTACACGCTTGTGATATTCCTCATTGTTTTCTGTACTACACTGGAAATGTGACACTGAGCATCAATCTGGAGTGCACCTGACAGCAACTTGACATCTGGAAATAATGTGGTCAGCAACTGAGCTCTCTGGATATATGCATTCCTGCCAATACCATCTGTCGCAATGGATTTGGCCAGCTTGAATGACTGGTTTGAGGGTTCGGTGTTGACCGCATACTGGAAGGACATGCTGTCACAGTATGCACAGCTCAGACTTTGCAAAAATGCATCCACTGCACAAGTGTCACAAGTGTAAAAACAGGTTCTTCGGACCCGGATTTAAAAAGGGACCACTGGATTAAAAGCGAATTAAAAGCAATTTATTACAAAATACATTAAAAACAAGTAAATAAAAGCAATGAAACCCTAAGCTAAAAAAACGGAGTAAAAAGCTAAAACAGGCTAAAACGCGTCCCCACGGCATGGGCCGCCAGACCACGGGGCTCTCACCCGCCACGTCGGGCTCCCGTCTCAGGCTCTCTCTCTCCGTCTCGTTCTGTCTCCCCCTCCCCGTCTCAGTCTTTTATTCTCAAGGCGCAGGTGTCTTGATTGCTCACGTGGGGAGCCGGGGTGCTTCAGGTGGTGCCAGTTAAAATCAATATTAAAAACACACAAACACAACATGCATAAAATATGAATAAAACCATATTAAAACCCACCACCCATTTTGCACCCCCTGACACAAGTATTTAACACAGATACTGTTTTGTTTCCCAGCTTGAGTGGTTGATGATGGTTACCATTTTTCAGCAGCCCAATTTTAACCATTTTCTTCGTAGATTGATTGGCATTCATCCATTCAGGACATGGGGCCAAATAAGAGTGGCACTTGCGTTTTTTTGGTGGAACTCCTTGGCCCCTCCAATTTTCCAGAGCCTCATCAGCAAGGATGCCAGCAGTTGAGTCAGAGTCTGCAGAAGGTAAACGTTCATTAGGTGTGAAGATCTACCTAAAAAAGTGTACTTGTCATAACTTAATAATACTTATAATAATAATACTATCTTCTAGATACTCTTGAGTTTTGATTTTGGGTATCTACATTCTTCTGTTATTGAAATGATAACATAGTTTTATATTGAATTTTCCAGACACTCAAAACCCATATACAAATGGTAGCACAGCTACCCTGGGATATACAGGGATATAGCCCTATGTTCCTTTGTTTATTATTTGTTACCTTGTAAATGTTAAATGTAATGTTATTATTTGTATGTCTTATAAGCCTTTGGTTTCAGCCCACTCCCTTTGAGCAGGTTAACTGCTCAACCAAATAAATTAACTAAACTAAACTGATGGAATCCATGACAGCAAACGGTGCTATTTTTCTGGGTTTTGTCACTTGAAGTAATGAGTTGCTCAAGAATATTTGCTTTAACATATAGCTCAAATTGAAACAAAAAGGTGGTTGTGATAAAACCACCCCTGATTTATTATTATAGTATACTGTATGTAACTGAGTGTTTTTATTACCAACCTTTTGACTTTTTTTTTTCCTCCCAGTGCCTTCGACATCGGCAGTTGTTGACGCTGTTTTAGTGGTTTCCTCCTCTGCAGTGTTTTTTGACGCGCAAATCCTCATTTTACCTTCAATGAAGGTAAGGTGACGAGCAACGAAGCGGTCCACTCGAAGAGGCAACTTTTCATGCTTGAAAAGCCCATGTTTTATATTCTTGAACTCCACTTCAACTGAGGCAGAACTGGCTGTGATGCCTGAACCAGGGAAGTAAGGAGTCAGTACTGCACTCCAGAGAGGTAAACTACTTGCTAGTCGTTTTATGTGGGGAATAATATCAGGGAGGAAGTGAATGTTATCACGATCACCTTTGCTTGTTGCGAAGGATTGGCTCTCTTCATAGATATCTTCTACCCACTGCTTCAAGTCTGTGTCAAGATCACTTGGATGCTCAAGATCAGGACTACTTTCTTCATGTGGCATCTCAATGGTCTCTTCTGATATTTGGGCCTTTAGGTATGTTTTGAAGCCCTCTGAGGTGACTGGAAGTCCTTTATCATGGCCCTCTCCTTCACTGAGTGCCACCACCATGATGGCACGTAAGAGGCCTCTTGCATGCTCCAAAGATTGTGATTTTATTACCTTTGCAAGAGATCTTACAAAGAAATCCTTGACACGGTGGGCCTTCTTTCTGAGGCACTCCCACTGGCAGATAAGCTTGATGCAGTGTGCCACATCCACTCGGATGTAACAATGAGGGAGTTTCGCTGCCGGGTTGCCAATCATGACATTGAAACATTCATTGAGGTATGTTTTCAAATCCGGGTGTGGTGTGAAAGACCTCACTAATGCACCAAGAATGGCCAGGGAAAAATCACATACCACCTCTTTTGGCACAGGTGCTCCAGCACGAATCCATTCTGTCAGCCAGTGTGAGATGGCATTCACATCATGGCGCTCTGACAACATTTGCACTACTGGGGCACTGCAGTTCATCTGGTCTCTCAATACTCCCTGATAGAGAAAAATATGACCAGATGTACTATTTGGACGTGCAAGTTTTCTCACTACAGATCCAGTTGCATCAACACAGATTGTTGAGTGACACCTCTGTGACAAGGTTTTGCAAATGTGTATTTGTGTTTGGCTCCAGTAATGGCAAAAAAACTTATCTAGACCAATGTCTTTAATGCTGCCACAGTGTGGAGAACTGTGTTTTAAGAGTTGTAATGACAATAGAGGGTCTTTATGCGGCAACTCTTGTGAATTCCTCTCTTGTTTTGCTTTTCGTAGGGTCGCCAATTTGGGCAAATGGCTGGGCTCAGGGTCTCCAAAATCCATTAGCTTTGTTGCTTGCTGTGCCCTCCACACATGAGGTTCGGACTTTCCTTCACAAAGTGCGCTAGCAACATCCTTGCGCGCTGCTCCAGACAGAGGACGCTTTGCACACCCTGTGTGGAGCGAGGAAAGGATGTTTTTAAGGAGACACTGGAAGACCATTGGGCTTTGAACTGGTGGCTCTTTCAGACATTGGGCCTTGAGCTTACCTCCACATTCCTTGCAGTAGCCTTGAATGTCTATGTATTTACTTTTTGACATGGGATAAACCTTTGCCCTTTTAAATACAAAGGTACAGGTATGTTTCACCTCTTTCCATAATATTTCATTCATGACATGAGTCCAAGTGCCTGGTTTTAATATGTTGTATTTTCTGTTGGCATAGTTGACGCTCTCCGGCATGAACTCTACCCATTTCTCAAATGGCACCAACAGCTGAAAAGTCTGCTCTGATTGAAGTATGCCATCACTGTCACTATGCTGATCGGCTGGTGGCTCATCTTCACTATTTTCAGATGCACTGGTGTCACTCAGACCCAAAATGGTCCAGATGTTGTGCCTGTCTTGTTTTACAAAGGTATACAGTGCCTTGGCAGACATTCTCTCATCAAGTTGATGGCTGAGTTCTGTCCAGATTTGTTCAGCAGGTTTAGCAATTTCCCCATTTATTAATATAGCCTCTTTTGATGTTGAGAGGATAGCAATAACAGCATGTGTGGCCACTCCTGGATTTTTTGGCATCTAGTAAAAAAAAACAAAAATTAAATCACCTTATGTAAACTGGAGTAATGTTGTTTTTTATGCCATTTTATTGAAAGGTTCATCTTAATATGTTTCACACAATATACAGCTGAACTCTTCCAAAACCTGTTTCAAAAAATTGTAATATTGCTCTGTGTGCATCTGACCTGCTCTAAAACGTTAAATATTCTCTTATGACCCTGCCCCCCCGCGGGAGAGCCGACCATGCAACCGCCCCCTAGCTCTCTGCCCCCCCCGGAGCTCCCTCGCCCTCCCCCCCCCCCCCCTGCCGTCATTCTCCCAACCCCCCACCGCCTCCCAACTACGCTGCCCCTTCACACCGGCGTCCGCACCCCCTCCCCCCGGCCCTGCACACCGGGAGTGGGCCTTCCTCACCTGCGCGCTGCCCCGCCGCTGACCCCTCCGCCACCTCCGCCCGCAGCGCCCCCCGAGCCGACGCCCCCCGGCACCCCCCCCTCCCCTTGAGTGCGCCCCGGAGCCGGGCCCCCCGCCCCCGGGCATCGGTCCCGTTCGAGGAGTGCCCGCGGTTTCACCACCCCTCGCGGCCCCCCGGCTCGCGTCCCATCACCATCCCCGGCCGCCCATCCCTCGAGCCCCGCCCCCCACGCGCCCAATGCTCCCCCTCGCCCCTTTCTCCTGTCCCTACCGGGCCATGTCCCCCCCCCCTCGCCACCGTCTCCACCCCCCCCGGACCCCCGCCCCCCGGATCCACGACCACCCCCACTCTACGGTACAATTAAAAGAGAAAACGAAACCTAAATACATATTCGAACTGTCCTTAAAATGCAGCTGCTTATAGTTCTTTGAGGGAAAATGTTCAAATTTTAGCGGGTAAACTTAATGGTTAGCGCCTCCCAGTGGTATAGAAAAAATAAAGCATGTGTTGTAGTGTTAATTAAATAATGACAAATGCTTTGACTATATCAGTTCTTTATTAACAACGTAAACACATGCATTACAAGCAATATAGGCTGGGCCGCGCCTGCAGATGACAGCACAAGCCAACATAAACGAAGCCAAAAGGATAGACACCATTCTCAGTCAGTTCTGCGCATTTTCGAAAGAGTATGATGACGTAATCGTCTAATAATGCAATTATTAATATCTTAAAAACGATAACAGCACAAATGTAAATGTTTACAGCACAAACCAGCACAAACGTAGCACAAACGAATGACACTATTTTCGTCCATTTTGGAGCATTTTTTAGCAAAATGAGGGGCTGGGTGACCTCAGATTGACCTATAAAAGAATCCTCAATATCTCAAAAACGATAACAGCACAAACAAAAATTTTTATAGCACAAAACAGCACAAACGTAGCACAAACGATTGACATATTTTTTATAAAATTTTGAGTAAGATGGGGGGCCAGGTTCACGTTAATGCGGAGGGGCCCCGCGGAGCAGCCCGCAGAAGAGCCCGCAGAGGAGGAGAGCAGACCACAAGCAGCCAGACTGAGGACAGCCGGGCCACGCGCACGAGCAACACGTGAGCAGAAGCGACCCCTCCAGATCAACGCATGCATTTGCGAACAGGTGTGTTAGCGACATGCACCTTGCAGGCTTCAGAAGTTTGCAAACTTCAGAAGGCTGGGAAGTGGGCGTCTCCGGCTTTTAACTTGCTGTCCTGGTGGTTATTGGTGGATTAGATGTGGGCGTTTTGCTGGTGTAATGAGTAGAGGATAAGCAGGCTTGTAGCAGGCTTGTAGCAGGCTTGCAGCAGTGGCCGGGTCTACCACAGTGAACTTTCGCGAAGAGCTTCATGACTATGATGTGACTGTCTCTTTGTGACACGTATGTCTTTCGATGTGTGACGTGACAATGACTATATAAACTGTGTACTGCCTTTATTCTGTCTGAGAGAAAGAAACAAAGTAAACCAGTGGAACTTGAGAGAAACTTAAATAAACTTCCAGAGTTTGGCACACCACGATCCGTCTCTGTCTGCTGAATCCTGACACAAGCATTCATATAACATTCAATTTAAACTTTACACTTAGCACAATACACTTAGAATGTATAAGCTCTCAGCAATTGTTGGCTGATGTAACATATTTTCCAATATAAATGTCTACAGTTGAGAGGATGGGTCATAAATTGTGTTTTTGACAACATATATGGGTCTTAATCGCGCTCAACCCATAGACTGTATTTGCTCAACCACGGCTTGTAATGTCACCAAGTGAGGCCAGCCTCAGGGTCGGGGGCATGTGAGCTCAGATTTCGGCTGCATCCAATTCCATCAGAAAGCTCCTTTCTTGTTCTTCATCTGCTAAAGGCAGCAACGGGGTGGTTAACATACATATATCACATTATATGTAATGTCACATCACATAAGATAATTTAGAATGCACTTACAGTAATGTTCTAATGACGATAGGAATGATGAGAAAGAGAGGTGAAGGGTAAGAAGGTTGATTTAAGAAATTGTATGCACCCGAGATTTGGCTGCAGCAAAACACGAGTTTATGGAGGAGACACCCGTTTTGTTTTACTTTTTAAAACTCAAGACTTATTTCCAAATGGAGGATTACATATCTACGCAACATGCACTGGAACGGTTTGCAGCTGAGTGTGAAACGGCTGGGATGAGAACCAGCACCTCCAAATCTGAGGTAATGGTGCTCGACCGCCCTCTCCGGGTGGGTGGAGTGGTCCTTCCTCAAGTAGAGGAGTTCTTGTGGGTCTTGTTCATGAGTGAGGGAAGGATGGAGCGTGAGATTGAAAACTACAATACAATCAGATTCAGATTCATTTATTATTTGCCATTTGCAGTAAAACCACATTGGAAAAACTGACACATTGGAAAAACAATCTATTTTTTGTTGCAGACTTAGAAAAAGCTTTTGTATGTAAAAGTCCTTTTTTAACTTTGGAGACTTTAAAAACTGGATAAAAACACTGTACAATCGAACAAACTGTAGAATAATAAACAATGGCTATGTCTCAGAGAAAATACCATTGTAATGGGGTCTAAAACAAGGGTGCCCATTATTGCCATATTTATTTATTCTGGTGATAAATAAATATTGCGATATTTGATACAATACATCAAATTGTATCAAATATGGATTCAATGAAAATTTTATTTCACTGAATCCATAAAAATTAGATTCAAATATTGAAAGGGCTTATGAATAATGGTATAGAAACTAAAATCTATGTATGCTGACAATATACATTTCCTTATCTGTCCAAAACCAATACTCTGGAAACATTTTCTAAACATTCTGGGTTAAAACTAAACTATAATAAATGCAAAATTCTAAAATTGAATGTTTTGGGAATTGTTATCCCAGAGGACTTAAAAGATCTCTGCTCAGTTAACTACAATGAAAAGATGAGAAAGATTAATAAAACTACTCAATATATGGAAAGGAATATTTTTTTTACCTTTTTTACCGGAAAATATCAATTGTGAACTCTATTATTCCTCAATTTATATATTTATTCATGTCCTTACCACCTCCCTCACAAGGTTTTTTCAAAATTTGTGAGCAGAATATCTTTGACTTTATTTGGGATGGAAAGCCTGAAAAAATAAAAAGAGGGGTCCTGTACAATGATAATGAATATGGAGGCTTCAAGCTCCTTCACATATCCATGGTACCAAAATGTAATAGAAACACCGAATGTTATACAAACATTTGTACTCCCACTGATGTCGGCTGTCGTCGTGTCCTTGGCAAGACACTTAACCTCTGGGAACACCAGCCACAGTGGGGCAGCTGCGGCTGTAAAGTGCCAAACTGCCGTTGTGTCCTTAGGCAAGACACTTCACCCCCATTACCTAGAATGTGAAAGGTGGTGGTGGTCGGAGGGGACGATAGAACCTACTGTCAGTGTGCCCCAAGGCAGCTGTGGCTACAGTAGTAGATTATCACCACCGTGTATGGAGTGAATGAATGTGAAGCGTCTTTTAATGTCCAAAAAAAAGCGCTGCACCGATGCATTATTATTATTTTTAATACATGTCCATTACATGCCCTTGATCATCACTGTTCTTAAACCCTCCCACTTCGTCTTCAGCAGGGCTATAAATTCTTAACTTGTTCGCTTGTTTTTTGTTTGTTTTTTTCACTCGGGCGTTAAGACAAACAGTGATGCAGATCTTGACATGGACACTTGGGGGCACTGTCCACCAATGAATACGCCTCAGAGGCCTGAGAACGCCTACATTCTGCAACCGTAAATGTACTGCTCCTTATTTTGTGAAATTCACATTTAAACCGATTTCTAGCAGGATATGCGTAGAGAATTGAGGTCTACTGAAGATGTTCGTGTAGTTTCCTTTAACAGATATACAATAATGCATATTTTCTTTCTCTTGGGTAATGTGGTTTGATGAGCCTCGGCCGCATAAGACAAAGTAATAGATATATTTCAAATGTATGTTCTGTAGATGAAACATGCTACGTTCTGTAGCATGTTTCATCTACACGCGCACGCGCACTCACACACACACACACACACACGCACACGCACACGCACACGCACACACACCCTCCCTCAGCCCAACGCCCCCTATCCGTTGTCCCGTACGCGCAACAGCGAGCAGCATTTAACCAGTGTTGTGCGGAGGCGCTGCGTCAGTACGCACCGGACTACATGCGCGTTACCAGCCCGCACACTTTTCTCTTTCCCTCTCAATTTTTTCCCATTTTACAAGTATTCGAATGATGAGCGATCGTAGGAGCGCTGGTACAGAAACAAATCATATCTAGGTAAGATGATTTTTATTATGTTTTGTTTGGATGTGAAGTTGACTCGATCTGCCAGTCGTTTTTTCAAAAACACAGCGCAAAACAGTTGCCGTTAAATGAATTGATTTGTTGAATAAAAAATACAAAGCATAAACATTGTTCCTTGTGATAGATAGCCCTGTTAACCTAGTTAGTCTAGTCTACTCAAACCAGGAAAAAAAACTGGAAAATATTTTTTTGTGAGCCCGTACGACAACTTGTTAAATGCATTCTTTTCTTCTCCCAGCGGCGGCCTTTGAACAATACATAAATACAAAATAACTCGTGTATTATTGCCGTGCATTGTTCCCATCGAATCACGAAATCTATCGTTTTGAGTTATAGGAAAAACGCCTTTTTTGCTCGTTGCTTTAATGTTGACCCCCCCCCCCCCCCCCCCTTCTCAAGTCGTAGATACTTGTTTTTTTTCCCTTTTTTAAATGTAGAAATTATCTTCACTTTCGTATTTTCGAAATCTAAAATGTAGTGGTTGTCAAATCAACAAGTCCTTTGCTGCTGATCCAGGATGTTTTTGGACATTTATGGACATATGAACCAATTACTCTTATGTGTTTCATTAAGATAAGATAAGATAGACTTTATTGATCTCACACAGGAGAAATTTATATGTCACATCTGGCATGGATAAAGTCACTCAAGATTTGTGGAAAAGAAAGACGTGTGCAAACATGAAAAATGCAAAAGGCAAAAACTAGTCTGTGCAGGATATTTGGCGTACAATGATAATACAGGATATATATAATGTACAATAAAAAGTGGCAATTATTATGATATTTTATTACACGCACGCATACACCCAAACACGCGTTCGTGTGTTTGGGTGTCTGCGTGCGTGAATAAACACACACACACACACACACACATAAATATATATACATTCATAGGTCTACATATATATATTGTGGTGAATTCCCTCCTCTCTCTTTGCAGGCGTAACGATGACTGACCGTAGAAGCGTGAAAGATTTCCCCGGTTCGTTCCAGCAGCTCCTGCCCGGTATGCAGCAGCAGCAGCAGCAGCAGCAGCCACAGCAGCAGCCGTCCCAGGAGTCCCCCACCCTCCCCGAGCCCACGGCCACAGACCTCACTGGATACCCCGGCTACAGCTGCTCTCCAGGCCCGCAGTACCAGTACCAATATCACCCGAGCGTCACGGGCAGCTACACGGGCAAAGGCTACTCCGAGTACGGCGCGTACACCGCAGCGTACCCGCAGTACGGAGTCTACAGCAGAGGCCCGGCGCCAGGCGCTCAGCAAGGTATTTCTGATGTTAACTGACTCAGAGAGGGTGGTCCTCCCTTTCTCACTGTTCTGTCTGAAAAAAGATTATTCAAAGATATGAGGCCAAAACACGCACGTGAAAACTAGTGATATACTGTTTTGAAAAATAAGTTAAAAGGGAGTTATTATTGTCCTAACTGAGCCCGTAGAAAATCAAACAGCACTGAGTACAATCACTAATAACATTTAGCGTTCGTACTTCAGACCTATTTATTGCTTTTCTGTTTCCAGTATGGAGTCTCGAATAAGCTGATTGTTCTTATTTTCTCTGAGAAAGCACTGGGCTGAATCACCCAACACCACCTATATTTGTTCGGCCTACATTGTAATGCATTTTTTAAATTATTTTTATAATGGACCAATTGGATTTGAATCGGAAATACAAAATAAGTGATTCAGATTATAGAATAATTCTTAAGTCTTTATCGCACGAATGGAATAGGTTTATGTAATGTCTACACAACGAACATTATAAAGCTATAATACAACATAACTTTGTATTATTGATGAACATTTTGCATTTTTATATTTTCAGTTGAAGTTGTTTTCACAGAATATTGTGAGAGACAGTAATATTCTCTTACTCTCCAGGCCTTCGCAAAGCGCGTCCGTCCTCCGTGATGTCAAATTGTCAGTTTTTTGCTTCGTGTTTATGAAGAACACGAAGCCAAAATTAACTTCTAAAATGTATTTTGGTATTACCTGCTTATAATGACTTACTCAAATACTGTATTTACTTTTCGTCATGTGATTAAGGCTTTTGTGTTTACATGTTATAACATTTAAATCGGGTAATCTTCATACAGTTTTAGAGACTATAATATTTCACAATTATTTGATGCATATTTTGTATTGGTATTTGCACAACGTTTTTTTCCCCTGATTGTCAGCTAGAGAGAAAAAGGAGAGAGCACGACTCCCGTGCAAGAGAGTGCAATACAATACAACGTATTTTTAGTTTAGCCCTAAATCATACCCGCTTGATTTAAGTTGTTGATTTACCAACAGATCAGAGAATCAAACAGTTCAAACACAGTAGATGCAATGATAACAAACACATAGAAAGTTTGTCCATTGGTCCATTGGGAGACGGATGACCACTGTCCAGAAATGATATGAAATTTCCTTAAATGTCCCGAATCTTCACTGTCCTTGGACCCGAGGCGGGAACTGCTCAAACACCCAGTGGAAAATAATGATGAGCCTCAGGGAAGCGCACATTGAGGGAGGGATCCGCTCCCACACGGACGGCTATATCTAGGACTCAGGCTGTAGAAGGAGGACCGAGGCTGTTTAGTGCAGGACTAAAGAGGCTCCCAGACGGGGAGGGGGTCAGGGAGACCAGTCCGCAGGTGCCAATAAAAGAGGCCAGATTTAGGGGTCCCATCATCATGCCATTATACAAACAATGGGAGAGTGGGTGAATAGCAAGGACTACAGTTGTCATGATCTTACCCTGTCAAGACAGCACTATTTTTACAGTAGTTTGTAACCCGCACACCCACAGCCTCAAGAACTGGTGAGCCACAAGATATAGAAGGGTTACAGGAAGGTGGCTGTGGTGTGAGCTACTGTTTGTGTTTACTAACTAGCATTGGCAGTCAGCCAGCATCGGAGGAGGGCGTATTAACCCTTTTCTGAATTGAACTCAAATAATGAAATATAGGACTGAGAGTTTTCTTCAACTTTAGAAATGTTTTATTATACCTTATTCTTTCTCTGCTCTTGACTTGTTTGTACCGAGGGCCAACACAATGTCCTAGTCTGTGACTTCCTGTTACTTACATGGCAATAAAACATATTCTGATTCTGATCAAATCCTGGCCTGTTTACAAGTGGTCCTTTACCAAACTAATTTTATTGCCATGCAAAATCATTTTAAATGTTCTATCAATACCAGAACATGTCGATTATTGTAGCTAGAGGAATACAACTTTTAGACAAATTTGTTTTTGAGTATTAATTCAAATAGTTTCTCAATATTTTAGATAAGAAAGAAATGTAATACATTTTCTATGTTACTTTTTCCTTTATCTGGTATTTTAGTGCACATCACACATTGTGCGGCGACTGGATGCACAATATTGCACAGTAGAATAACAGCTCTGTCCATTGAGGATTGAGGATTTTTGGAGCGGGTGAGGTGTTTGTACCAGAAATCCTATTTGTCTTTTGAATGATGCAAAAAAATAATCAGGCACAAAAGGGCGTAAACACGTCTGCCTGCCCCATTTGTCTGAATGTTTTATTAAACTAAAACACTTCCTTTGACTAACAAAAGAATCATTGCCAAGTTAAGTTTTGGAAATTTATATTGTCAAATTCTGCTTATAACAATGTGTGAAGGCCAAAGTGACCACTCCTTTGAACGCATCATAGAAGTTCTTCACTGTCACCCACACTGACGGCGTCTGCTGTGCTTTTCTCAGCAGACAAAGAGGTGAGTGTGGAGCCCGAGGTGCGCATGGTGAATGGAAAGCCCAAGAAAGTGCGCAAACCACGAACAATCTACTCCAGCTTCCAGTTGGCGGCGCTGCTAAGGCGCTTCCAGAACACGCAGTACCTGGCCCTGCCCGAGAGAGCCGAGCTAGCCGCCTCGCTTGGACTCACACAGACACAGGTACTGTAACCTCCTCACAAACAAACTTAACTACACTATTTATTTAGTTATTTATTGTCAAGAAAAGAAAGAACGCACATGAACACGCTCACATTACGCACTGGGTTTTCATGTCAATGGGATCTACAATAATATCAGTCAATGGCCTGTGCTCATTGGTTCAAAAACATCCTGGTTTTTCGCGATGGTTCTACTTCAACTGGAGCAGAGGAACACGTGTGGGAGTCATCAGCTTGTTCAGCTCAGCCATCATTCTATAAATGGTGTAGATATAGATGAAAATGGATTGACAGCAGCAAAAAACCATAATGGAACCTGTACTAACAGCGAGCTCACAGACATGTCTTGTAAGAACCGTACAGCCAAAGTTCACTCTCTGGTTCACGGTTTTGCACTGGTCCAGACCAGAACAGAGAGGGTTCATGGTCTGAATTAAGCGGATCCAGCCAAAATCCACTGGAGGAAGGCTAACTTTTTGATAAATACTAATGAAGCATTCAGCCTTTTACTTTGGACTAGAGCAGAGAAAATGGTCCGAACCAAGCGGCCACACCTTGTGACCCGTCCTGCTCCACCCAGGGGCTACTTAAACCTCTGCTGCTGTGACCTGAAGGGCTGTTGCTTATTATTACTATTGTTAGCTTTTTAGAATGATAATTTTATTTTTTTATTTTTGCTGCTACTGGACACCTGAATTTATCCTACGGGGATCAATAAAGTATCTATCTATCTACATTACCGCAGAAAAAAGGGAGAAAAAAAGAGCACATAGATTGCACACATCAAACAGGATCTACTATTTAAGATACCCATCCATCCATCTATCAATTTTCTTCTCGTTTGTTCATTTCTGGGTCGGGGGATGGTAATCAGCTGCCACCCAATCCACAGAGCACCAGCCCCTCACTGATCCTTCTGCAGGTGGTGAGTCCACAGAAGGATAATAAACAGGAGCATTATTCGAGATAATAAATAGTCAATTCAAGTTATAAAATAAAATGTTATATGCGATAATTGCACTTGGTTCAAGGATAAGTCACTTGTGGAGTATACACTGTAGTCAGCAGCATCAGGAGGCATTAACAGATGTTTATATTGTACTTTAGTAGAAGAGAATATGACAAAAATAAACAATAGTAATAATAGCAGCATGTGAAGGGACTTGTGAATTTCAGAACAGGTACAGAAAAAACATACATGGAACAGATGTAGTATAAAACTACTCACTTGTCAGATGTTTTGTCAAGTGTTTGAAATATGATAAATATGAATGTATCTCTTTAGTAAGTAAGTAAGTCATGTTTATTTATATAGCGCATTTTACAGACCAAGGTCACCCAAAGCACTTTACAATGTTCAGAGTTCAGATATTGTTCCAATCATTCCACACACGGTGATGACGGAAGCGAGTTGCCGAACACACTGGCGCATCAGCCCCCAATCAACACCATCCATTCACTCTCTCATTTACATTTATAACTATTAGGACACATTTTACTGCCCCATACAGTGCTAGCCCCTTGCAAAGAAAGAGAGATATTCTTCATTTTAAACTATTCCATGTAGAGTTTATACTGTATTGATGTTTTTCAGTTTTTAGCCAGACAACATTGTGCTTTTGGAAAAAACATTACATTTTGAACTCTCATCTGAAACACCAAGACTGTGTCAACCACCACCTGCAGGAGGATCAGTGAGGGTATGGTGCTCTGAGAATGGGTCTGCCACCCGCCAACCCAGAAATGAACAAAGGGGATGATGATGAATAAATTAATGAATTAATCGCTAGAGCAGTTGTACTTGGGTTTGCAAAGTTATTCTATATCATTAGCTCTGATCTGTTTTACTCTCATCCCCATGCAGGTCAAAATCTGGTTCCAAAACAGACGCTCAAAGTTGAAGAAGATTATGAAGAACGGTGAGTTGCCCCCCGACCACAGCCCGAGCTCCAGCGACCTGATGGCGTGCAACTCTCCTCAGTCTCCGGCCGTGTGGGAGTCACAAGGACACCAGGCTCTAGGCAGGACCCTCCCACCCAGCAGCAGTGTAAACAGCAGTACTAATAGTAGTAATAGTATGACTACTTCGTCACATTTTTTGGAAAACCCAGTGTCTTGGTACAGCTCGGCCGCCTCCACACATCTGCACAGCTCCATACAGCACTCTCTGGCGCTGGGAGCAGGGACGTTATACTGAGACTCAAACACACTCAGCTGGACTCATACTCGTGTAAAGTGGAGGAATATTGAATGTATGTGCAAAGCCAGAGGTGGGTAGAGCAGTGGTGGAATGCAAGGATGTATTCAATTAACAGTACTGTTCTTAAGGAAGACATAACATGCTGTTGTGCTACACACCCAAGCCAGAGTCTTTGCACACAACACTGCCCTTCTGATGTCTCTTTTGATGACTTACATACTTACATCTCATCCTGCATCAAATAGAAAGGGAAAAAGAATTGTACCTACTGAGATTTCAATGTCTGACAGTTGCATAAGACTTTTCTGGAAAGTCAATGACAAGTCATGATTTAATCGCTCTATATATCAGGGGTGGTAAAGAACTGGGACAGACTGATGGATGTGAGACCGCTACTCTGTGCCATCTACCCCTCCGACCACCACCAATCATTCATGCACACTACAGACTCATATTAGCCAACTCGGCAAGGTATTTGTTTGGTACTTGGTTTAATATTAGTTTGGTACTTTGCGTTTTGAGAGTGAGGGAAGAGAAATAACTCAAACATCAATACTACAACTGTGAGTGTGTAAATTATGAAGGGAAACTATAATAGCATCCTCAAGATGGAAAAGCAAACATGACTCAAGTGAGGTTGGTAATGTCTGTCATTTGAAATTAAAAGGGACTTAAAATTAAATTGAGAGGTCATTATTTTATTTTGTCCACAATATGCACAAAATATAAAACTCCATTCTTCACTTAATTGTTCAGACTGTGTCTCCAGACATTAGATGCAATGATCAAATAAGTTCATCCTGTCAACATCCTGTTCTCACAGAAGCCATTGTTTGACTCAAACAAAGAATACTTTTACACTGTCAAATATATACGACTCAAGTATAGCCCTGTTTCCACCAGCAAGGCCCTACTCTGCTCTACACTACGCTACTCGACTCGACACTTTCTCGATTGGGAGAGTTTCCACTGGGTACCAGATACTGAAGTAACAGAAATGCAATCAGGTAGAGTCGAGTAGAGTAGGGCTGAATAGGGCTGGTGGAAGCAGGGCTTTAGAGTACTGTTACATTATGAACATCTTACTGAAGTATGCAATATAATGTATCGTATAAAATGTTTATGAAAGTTACTCAAGAGAGCTCCCCACCTCTGAATGTATGTGACGGTCATGTAGGAGTGTATAATGTGTAAATGTGTGCATGTAATTTATTGCATTTGGAGGCTATTAAACGTTTACATGGACAATGAGCACCATGGGTCCCGTGCGCTTCTTCAAGCCCCAGACAAAGCCCTGCCAATAAGCGCCATAACTCACTGACAAGACACAGGCCGAGTGACAGCGTAAAACTGTGTTCCGTTCAATTCAATTAACTTTTGTATTGTCTTAAATCACAACAGCAGTCGACTCGGAGGACTTTACAAAGTTATTGATTCACCAACAACAGATCTGAGAATAAAATAGTTTGAACAAAGGAAATGCAATAATAACAAACACATAACATAATTGGTCCATGGGGAGCGGGATGATCACTGTCCAGAAATGTCCTAGAGTAATGAGGAACATTGTTATAGATTATAAATTTAGCTAAATAAATGTTGTAAAGACATAACTTCTCATGTCCAAAGTTTGTATACTTCAGTTTGTGCCCTTATACTATTATCCACAATTCTGGGAAAGAAATGAGATTCTACACACTACATATAGAATTTGATGTGTAAACATCTTCCTTTCAGCTTAATGCTGTCTCGTGTCTGTATACCGATGTGAATGTGGCTCAAACATGAAATGGGCTATTAGTACATTGAAACTTGATAGCAGAGATAGTGTCATTTAGGTGAATACATTACATTAAGAAGTATTTTCCCACAAGCTTTATAAATTGAATTTCCCAAACAAATTCAATTAGGGCCTTTGTAACAATAGGTCATTGTCAGACATAATGTGATTCCAATGAAAAGTCTTAGACTTGTGCATTTCCAAGGCAACTTAATTCCATTTATTTTTGTATAGCAGTAAATCACAACAATAGTGATATCGGAGGACTTTACGTTAGTTGTTGATTCGCCAACAAAGAATAGAGAATCCAACCGTTCCAAAAAAGGAAATGCAACAATAAAAAACACATATGTCCATAAATGTCCTTTTATATCCTGAATCATCACCACTGTCCTTAGACCCTCCTGTATCGGCAAGGAACAACTCAGTGGGAAAAAAGTGAGTAACCTTGGAGAGGCCCACATTCAGGTGTTATGACCAGTTACAGGAGGGGATAAGCTCCCACAGACAGACAGTTGTATGATTTGTTCACATTTTACTTTTATGATACTCTCTCTGTACAGACAACATGTTTCAATCTAGAAAGAGTCAAGACAAAGATTGCATCATAGATATAGAGATTAAGATTTAGATTAACAGATCCTTTATTCGTCCCACAGTGGGGAAATTACATTGTTGCATCAAAAATTATAGAACAGTAGGAATGAGGAGCACACGGCACAAGTTAAGTGAACAATAGTTGTACTCATTGAAATAAAACCAAATCTCTAACTCTCGCATCAAATAACAAGTATAAAATCTCTATCTTGAACATAATAATAATAAAAAGTATAACGTTTTACATTTGGCAAAATAAAAGGCAAGTATAAACTACTGTGTATTCTAGTGCAAGTAATATATAGTTGTATTTTTACATCTGTATATGTAAGCAGCAGTATGTTAACTTCAGCACATGTTGGCCGCAATATGTTTACATCTGTACTTTAGCAGCAGTATGTTCACATCTGTACATTAGCAGCAGTATGTTTGCATCTGTACATTAGCAGCAGTATGTTTGCATCTGTACATTAGCAGCATGAGGCTCTGGGACACAGCGACTCAGGAAAGTGACAGTGACATGTGGTTATTGCACATTCTGATATAAGTTAAGGATATTGCACCGCATAACACATGAGATAATGTTGACAGTGTTCATTAGTCCTCATTTGTTTGTTGTACAGTCTGACAGCAGCAGGAAGGAAAGACATGCATAACCTCTCTTTCACACAGCAAGGGTGAATAAGTCTGTCACTGAAGCTGCTCTTCATAGCAGCCAGAGTGTCTCTGGCAGGTCCCCCTGCATAGTCATGGTCCAGCATAGATGTTAGTTTGTCCAGGACCCTCCTGTCCCCCACCTGCTGCACTGTGTCCAGGAACAGCCAAGGTCTGAGTTGGACTTCCTGATGACCTTGTTAAGCTTCTTTCTGTTCCTCTCTGTACTGGCAGATTTCACCACAGAGTCATAGAAGGTCTTCAGGAGTGGCCCCTGCACTCCAAATGACCTGATCCTCCTCAGGAAGTAGTATCGGCTCTGGCCCTTCTTGAAGAGGGCGTCTGTGTCATGAGTCCAGCCCAGTTTGTGGTTCAGATGTACACCCAGGTACTTGTAAGAGTTCACTCTCAATGTCCCTTCCCTGGATGTTCGCTGGGGCTGGAGTGGCAGAGTGACGTCTTTGAGGATCCACCATCTCCATGGCAAATGATGGTTTCTCACCCACCCTAATCCCTGTAAGACTGAGAGCTTACACAAACTCACCATCTTCTTGGTCTTCCTCGCATTGATGAGGAGGTGGTTCCACAAAGTCCTATATTACTCCTCTGTACTCTACGTCATCGTCCTCGGAGCTGAGTCCAATGATGGCAGAGTCGTCAGAGAACTTCTGTAGGACACAACTGTCCGTGTTGTGTCTGAAATCCACAATGTAGAGGGTGAAGAGGAATGATGCGAGGACTGTCCCCTGGGGGGCCCCCACACTGCAGGTCAGGACCTCAGATACAAAGTTCCTGATTCTCACAAACTGGGGTCTGTCTGTGAGGTAGTCCAGGATCCACTTAGACAGTTTGTAGTCCACTCCAGCTGTCTCCAGCTTGTCCCTGAGAAGTTGCGGCTGGATGGTGTTGAAGGCGCTGGAGAAATCGATGAGCAGAATCATCACAGTGGAGCTGGGTTTCTCAAGGTGGGAAAGCGAGCGGTGGAGGAGGGAAATGATAGAATCATCAACTCCGATGCCCGACCGGTAGGCAAACTGCAGCGGGTTCATCACTGAGGTCAGAGTGGAGCGGAGATGTCCCAGGACCAGTCTCTCCAGTGTCTTCATGCAGTGGGAGACACGTGAGATCAGATGATGCAGATGATGTCTACGCGAGGGAATCTAATACAGATTATGAGCTTGCTATTGATATTGTGCGTCATGTAACGTCTTCCTGCTGCTCCTGCTGTGGCGTAAATTTTCTGCACAAGTCTCCACCTGGCAGTTGCATACTTTCGCATTCTACAGTCCCTTGCTTGTGTGACAACAGCAGCCTAGTGTAAATAGGAATATAAACAGAAATTTAACATGGGTCGATAGTTGCTGAGGTCAGTATTAGCGCCACCAGCAGGACCAGAGTTGTATTTGACCCCATTTGGACTGGCCCCGTTGGGAAAAAGAATAACACCTAGCCTAGTATAGTGAGGGACCTCAGTTGACTATTATGAGGATTAGATAGCTATATGACCTACCAGGTGGACAAACGCAAGACAAGGACTCTGCTTGTGTATCTATGTTATGACTATGATATGCTCTGACTGTCTTTGAATGTGACACGTATGTCTTTCCATGTGCGGACGAAACAATGACTATATAAATCACGTGCTGACTCTACTCTGTCTGAAAGAATTGAAACAACTGAAACCACTGGAACCTGAGAGAAATCTAAATAAACTTCCAGAGCTTTGGTGCCACATGATCCATCTCTGTCTGTTTCATTCTTGACACTATCAAGAATTTGAATTAATTCCATCCAGTCACGAACGCTCCGTAACGAGTCGTTTCTATGAAGATGTTCTCTGGGGACATCACTTGAGATGTGCTTTGGTCAAATGTATATAACATCCCATATTGACTGACCTTTCGGGGGGATATAAACGACTAATCGATTCATTGTAAGAACAATCGGCCAACTTAACGTTCATCAT